TAGATGCAGTTTTAAAGAACTGAGACCCGTCTGACTAGTCTGGTCTTAAAATAAATAAAGTATTTGACTTGCACCAAAATGATACAGACAATTATCTGTTCTGTTGGTTTTAACAGAAACTAAAAGATTTTTAACTCTTCCTTGAGGCTTGGAAGGCTTCATACATCTTTCTGTTGTGCCAAATATTCTTTTTATCTCCTGTGCTTGGTTAATAAGTAAGTTTTTATTCAGCTGAAAAAAAAACATTTACCTGAGAAGGAAGAGGTTCAAAATGGTCTGATTTATTCAGATATTTTCCAGATGTCAGCTGAATGCTTTTTCATTAAGCTGCATTTTGATATTCCAGCTGCACTTTCCAGTATACTTACTACCTTGTTATAGTTTACCTCATCTCAATGTTTTTATGCAGTTTATGGGGTGTATAGTTAATGAAGAGGGTGACTGGCATTGTAGGTACACACCTCAGGGCCAGCTTAAAATAGACTTTTTTCTGCTTTACTGCTAAATGTCTTTTGAGACTAGCATCATACACCTTTTTGTTCATTTGTCAAGATAGGATGGCAGAAATAGGTTACCTTTTCTATGTCCTGCACCTTGACCTGATTTATTGGTTCTAATGGAAGAAGATGGACATCTTTGGAGATTAATCGCATGTTAACAGTGACTACAGTTGTTAATTCCCAAATCCTATTTTCCTACATGTCTTAATTACTGTTCTTTCACATCTAGTCTGTTAAAATGCTAGGTATTTAAATACTTAAAATTGAGAATGAAAGGAAACCACTACCAGTGTCTTGCTATTGCAGTAAAAAAGTGAAATTACCTGTCAGTCATTGAGTAGCAATCAAAGCTGAGGTAGATATTAGAGAACTAATTATTTATTTAGTTCATAGTTTAAAGTATTGCCTCGGAAGTGTGTAGTAAAGCTTGTGGTAGACAAGCAGGTGTCTTGGGCTGTTGTCATGTAACTCTCCCTAGCTGACCAGACTAGCTGATGAATATAACCGATGCTTGCTCTAAGAAGCTGAAATGCTACACTGTACAGTCTGTTTGAGACCAACTTGAAAACTGTTCCCTTGCCACATGTAATAGCTTTAAGGTCTTTTCGGTTGTCCCGCTGTCTTCCTCGCTTACGCAGAACTGCCCAGTGATGGCTGTTTCTCTGATGCGTGCTAGGTGCTCCTCTGATGTAACCTGCAAGGATAAAAGTTGCACTGCTTCTCTTTTTGACACCCACAGATCTTGTGAACATTTGAAGCAGCCTGAGGACAGCCCTGTAAGAAGGACTGCAATGAACATACAACTGTACAGTTTTAATATCAGGTATTAATCTTTAATTCCACATCACAGCAGTCGAGTGAATGGGTAAGGGAAAGAAACCCAAAACAAACGGCAGATATTTACATCTAAAATTCACACCACTTATTTGTTGGGTCTGGAAACATGCTATCACAATATATACAATGAAGTACCTTTAGGACACTTGTACAAATTATTTTCTCCTTTTAAATTTGATTTCCATTATAGATAAGATAGCTTTTTGATTTTATTTTAAACACGAATACACAAAAGAGAAGTGGTTAGAGGTTTTTGCCTTTTTTAAATAAGCACAGAATGCCAGAGGTTAAAAACACATTTACAGGGCAGAATACCAGTCAGACATCACAATCTATACATTTTTTGCTCAATTTCCTGTACAAATACACAGCATTCAAATGGGGGTATTTACAAAGAAGTATGATCAGAGGAAATTTTAAATATCATCTAATTTGTTTCCCAAAGGCTCTTGCTCTCTCCAGCCCCCCCTGCCATCCCCCCCCCCTAAAGGGGAAGGGGAAAAAAAGAAAAAAAAAATCTTAGTCTTGCACATGGCAATTAAAACCAAAGCTTTCTTCCCAACCATTGAGAAAAAAATGTATAGGTTTCAGTGGTATTTTTCTAATTACTTTTCTTCTATTACTGTAGTTCCTTCTCATTTTTGTTTCCGATGGGGCCAGCAGGTACATTGAGGATGGAGAGATTTGTAGCAGAATTCCACAGATTTTTCTTGGGAATACACATCAGTTATGCAGAAACCCAAGGCAAGTACTTCTGATTCAAACTTAATACATAAGTACAGAATGACCAGGTCCTCTTCTAACCCATCCTCTTACTATGGTTATACAAAGAATCCTCATATCCTGAGGGGCAAGTGCATCAAGTACTATTGCTTCCACCTGCCGCAGGACTGAGTTTGATGATGGAGTTTTATATGCTATAAGCCAACCCACCCTACAGAGGAGTATTAGTTCCACATCTATGAGATCTTAATCTTTTTAGGAGTAATCTTTCTGTCTTTTGCCCTCTTTGAAGTTAAGTGCTGAAAAGGGAGACAAAATGCATGGTAGACATTGGACCAGTAATAGAAATTAAGCCCAAAGTTGTTCAGAATTTTTAAGTTCAATAAGTGAATCTGTCCTTCTCTGTGTGGACCTGCCATAAATTGGGTATTTGCATACATGATTTGATCTTCAAACCCTTAAAAAAAGATGCAGTAAGATCACACACCCAAGTATGGACACATTGCTGTTTTGAAGTCTCTCTCTAATCCGAGCACGATGATATGTTTTTAAGAAATTGTTTAGACCAGTTGGCAGGTTTTCCAACTGACTGGGACTTAGTCCTATGTTAAATGCATACTTGTTTGTTTACAAAGCTTTATTTGCAAGAGCTGCAGTTTTTGCTATGAGGAAGCTCAATAAATCACTATATTTACTACTTTTTAATCTTCCTACCAAAAAGAGGGACAGGGGAGATGGAACTGAATACTTAGTTCTCTTAAAATTTCACTTGCAGAATCTCAGTCAGATTGGAGAATAGCATATGTGAAAATAATTCATTCATTTCTAGGAAATTATCCTGACTTCACTGAAAACATAGTTTTCATACATTTGATCTATACCAGGGATCCAGCTTTGTTCATTAATATTTAGGACTGTCCTAGCATTGGAAAAGTCTCCTTCCTCTTAGAGATGAAATGTCCACTGTAGGCCAGGTTGTAATATCATTGTCTTAATTGTGAAGGATACAGTGATTACAAGCAGCCTGCATTAGTAACAAAGTAGAGGAAGCAAGAGAGACTGGTTCCAGCCAAACAGGCCAGTTAAGAAACAAAACCAAAACTGTATTACTTTTACATGGGCTAGAATTTGAGAAAGAAAAGATACGAATCCTCTTAAAATCCCCTTCATACAAGAGCTGACTGAATCCCGACTTCATGCAGACAGACCATCTTCAGAAGAGTTCAGAAGCAACGTACTCTGCCCAGTCATGTTATTTAGAGGTAGTGCTAAAGGTGACCTGTAGAAGATTTAAAATAGCCTCTTTTTTTGTTCTTCTTTTTTTTTTTTTGCTTCTGTAGGCAAAACATATTCTATTTGTAGCATTATGGTTGTAGCATGAGAAGCTGAATGGTTAGGGCAAGAATTGGATATGAGAGTTGAGTGCTATTCCTGTTTCTGACACTTAATTTTAAGGATGGAGGAAATCTCTTATTTGAATGTGCTTCAGTGTTTTCAATGATAGGAAAGTGTGTGGTCTCTCTTACCATCCTCTGGAGTGTGCTTTGCAATCTGCAGGTGAAAAGGGTATATTATAAGGAAGGCTTAAAGTGTGTATAAGTGTGGTAAGGGGCAGGGACGTTCCTTGTTTATCTAAGAAATACTAAATATTTGATACTTTCTCCCTCCTTTTGACTGAAAGTTTCTTGAAAAAATGAAAATAGGAATAAAAGTTTTTTTTAAGAGTTCTTTTAAAAGAACAGGTGTTGACTCTTATCACCACAGAATTTTTTTCCTAGTTTGTCATGTATTAAACTAAGCAAATATTGATTACAAGAGTTTTTTTGGCATTCATAGACTAATACTGCCTCCATCTCTGCAATAGTCCTTGCAATAGTTTCTTGTTTTCTCTAACATCACACTTGCACTAAATTCTTCAGCCCTTCATAGAATCTGGCAATAAAAAAAGAAAAAAAAAATCCTGTATTGCAGTATGGGGGGGAAAAAAAGAAATCAACCTCCCAGAAGAGCGAAATAGAAGCTTTAAAGCTTCTCTGTACATTCTCAAGAAGCAAAAGAGGAAACAAATGCTGCTTCTTTACAGGTTGCCTTTAAAAATCCCTGACTCTAGGGTGCACATTATACACTGGGCATTCCTTGCGTCTTAGCATTTTCTGTCTACAGCGAGGGATGGAGATCCTGTACACCAGCTACAGTGAGTGTTCGAGAAGGACTGAGGACATTATGATAACAGGTCATGAATCTCAGCTCCTGGGTGATGGAAGTTGGCGAGGATCGTAATGTTCAGCCCTGAGGCAAGGATTGGGGATATGATGCATTTAAGCCACCTTTCTTTTATGGGCTGAGTCATCAATCAGCTGTGGCATGAGCAACTCAACTTTTTTTTTTCTTTTTTTCTTTTTTTTTTTAACTGGAATAGAAATGCTGGTGTCAACAGCCTGCCTGAAGTTAGGCATAAGAAAGGCCTACAATCAAGTTGCAGCTCCAAAGGCTACTAACCTCCTCTCATCCTGTAGCATAGATGAATAGCATATGATTCCAATGAGAAAGCAGGTTGGCTTAGCCAGTGAAAGCAAAATTTAGGAAATCAAACAGTACGTAAAAACCAAAGGAGGCGGAGTTTGTTGGAAATGATATCTTGGAAATCAGTGCATGAGCACTGGTTAGATCGCCTCAGCACCTGTGAACCAATGCAGGGAGATCACTGCACAGATATGTACAATTCTGCTCTCAAAAGAGCCAGTTTCTTCTTAGAATTGCCATCTTCCACTGCCTGCAGCTCATGCACCTTCCAGCCTGACAGTTCATAGAATCCCTGAATTCAGCAATGAGCTTTCACTTCTGTACAGCAAAGGAGTAAGTCCCTAGTGCAACTGCTTCTACTCGTGTGCGTCTCAGAACTGGGAGGAAAGCAGTTTTAAAATCAACTTGTTTTTCTGCAAGTCTTGGTGGCTCACATGCCATGTGGTGTGGTTAAGAAACTGCAGAAGGAATAAACTGTCCACAGAAAGTTAAAAACACAACTGAAAGGTGTAAAAAGAAATTAAAAAGGAAAGCAGCAGCAACCTGGCATGCTGGCCCGATTGATTGTGTGGGCTCCAGACATTAACTCACGGCAGTAGAAAACTGGTTTGCTGTTCTCTGAGTCCTGATGTCTCTCCTTTCTTGTCAGACCTGGAATGATGATGCAAGCTGCTTGCCCAGGAGTTCTCCCTACTGCTCACTGATGCCATGCTCCCACGCTACCCTGGCTTGTTCTTCCTTTCCACCACTCACTGGTTGGGATACTTTGCGATGCAAGGGACGGTGTTTGTCATCATCTTCAATTATCATTCCCTCTTCAGTCTCCATGTTTGGGAGACGGGAATGGTAAGGTTTGGGGGGTAAAGCTGGAGGGTCCATGGTGTCCTGAGGAATGACTCCAGATGGTGCAGAGTGGCTTCGGCATGGCTGGGATTTGAGTGACTCTAGGACATCAGGCTCAGAGAGACTGTACCTGACAGGGAGGTAGGGTGTCTCTAGATCTTCATCAGTATTCCAGGACTGGCTTGGGACAGAATCCATGGTGTCTGTGCGAGGAGGGGGTTCAGAGGAATGTCCAAAATTACTCTCACTCAGGGAGGAGACGCCACTGCTGGCACTGCCGGATAAAGTGGAGTTACTTCCATCCAGACCAGACTGGGGACTGGTGGGTGATGCAGGGATAGGATGAAGAGGGGACTGTTCAGAGAAAAATAAAATCATGTTAAAATTGACAAGGGCGGCAACTCTGCAGCTGGTTGCTGCATGTTTCAACTTTTTACAATGTGTTAACAATGGTCCAATTCCTTTTATGTTCAAAAAGTCAATGGTTTGTATACACATTCCCCTGACTTGTGTAGAAGTACCTCTTGTGGGCAGAGAAGTGAGCTTAACACCACTGGAGTTGTTAAAAAACAGTAGTTGTGATATCCTTCCCTCCCATCATATTGAGGATACCTGAAATCGCAGCATACGATGCAAGGAAGGAAAGTAGAAGGGCCTACAACACGCGTAAATTATGGCTATAGAATTCAGCTGTGGAACAGATTATAAGGTTTCAGTGAATTTTCTTATGTTAAAGTTATTAGCACATTAAAAATAAGTGTTTTTGTATTCAAGAGCTGCTTAGAGGTAGTAGTAGAGGAGGGGATTCCTTCAGGAACCTGTTATTTTCCATCTGTATTACTCTGCTCTGCTGCCACTTCCTTTTTACCTTGCGCAATGTTCGGGCAGGCAATGCTGGAGGAGCATCACTGAGCTGGTGATGGAAGGCATCAAAGTGCAGTGAGTAGTGTCCTGCAATGAGACAAGGAACAGAAACGCAGACTTGAACAGCCTCACTTCAGTGAAAAAGTTGGGGTTTTAGATTCCAGATGACATCTGCAAATGCTGATAGCTCCATTCCAACCTAGGGCTTCCTTTTTAATAGATACTGTAGGGTGCATCCGTCACGTTATCACAAAACGCTAATGAGAAGTTTAGAGCAATGACAGATTTCCACCCACCCCTGTTATCAAGGATCTCATGGCAAGGCAACAGGCTCATCAACAATGAACATTTGAAGTTTCATTTGATAGCTTTGTAACCTTCAGCTACTGCTGCAGATAGTCATTGAAAAGAAGTCAGGCCAGGCTTCCAATACTCACAAACCTAATTCTAGTCCCAAAATACACTCAAGTCTGTATTACTGTAAGGACTGTAAAAGTTTGAAGATTTCTTAAAAAAAAGAAAAAAAGAAAAGAAAACTTTGTGCAATACTCAGCCTCGCAGACCAAGAAAGACTTTTTTTTGTGTTTCTTTCCTGATTGTTTTTCTTTTTAGAGAAGAAATAGGCTAAGGTCCGCTTTCAAGTAAGTGGTCTAGGTTTTATCTGTGCATGAGTGCAGGAATTATGGAGTGGACCTACTGGGCATTTCCTTACCATGGGGCAGGCTTCGGGGAGGTAGTGGTGGGGCCAAGATGCTCCCAACGTGGGCGGACAGGAATGGCAGGGCCTCTCTGGTTCCGCTGTCTAGGCTCCAGCTGCTGGGTGCTGCTGGCACAGCTGAAGGAGTGAAACAGATTTATCTTGGGTAACATAATGGGGTTTTGTAGGGCCAGAAGGACTGGCTTTCTAATGCACTCTTTAGTAGCAAGGAGGGGACAGATTCTAGGGACTGGGTGAATAGTAGGATTAAAAGCATACAAAGAGATCGTCTAGTCTACAGGTGTGTTAAGTTTATAGGTTGCGTTGTTAAGGAAGTGAAAGTTAGGTGATTGTAGTGTCTGTTAGTCTGCCCCTTCATGAGCCCTTGGGCAACTTCTGTCAAATTTGAGGAGCAGTAGAACTCTCCAAGTTTTTTGGCAAGCCACTGAGTAGGTAAAATGAAATTTCACTAATGGAACTGCAGATGTAGGTGTCAGTTGTTAGCTATTCTGCTTGGCAGTGAATGATTACAGAGTGGCAAGGAACAATGTGGCAGAACCCTGATGAAACGTAGGAACATAAAGGATGTGAGGGTAATTACCCCTCAAGCTGGTACAGTAGAAATCATGATTTAAAGGCAAAATTTACTAAGCTACAGAGTATCACTAATTTTGGTCACAAAATATTTAAAGACAGCAGTTTAGTCTTTTCTTATTACGGATCACATGAAGAGACAGGCATTTGTTAATTAGGAGAGAGAGGGGCCTTCCTCATATAATGGATATTGAGTATAATCTTTGTGGTTTTGTTTTCTCATAGAATTAAAAGCTGTTTCTTTCTAAACTGAAAACATTTTCAAAATCTCAAGAATTATGTCAACCTCAAACGTTATTTAAATGCAATAACTGTATGTTTATTTAAAGGCAAAGAGAAGTATTTCTTCAGATTATCCTAAAAGATCTTGATAGCCAACAAGGGAAAACAAAGTAATTCACTAAGTCTACCAAAGAAGAGTGAGATAAAAGTAGCTTTTGCCATCTGCAGTTTGAAACATGGAGAATAGAAGCATGGAAAAACAAACATGGAGTTTGACAGCTGAAGAGGATTTCTCCTTAATTAAAATGCCTGCAACTGTTGTGGTGCATTTCTTTTCTAACATGACTCTGAAGGATTTCTTTGGCCTTCTTCCTTAGTTCATGAATTAGCATGAACACAGGCTCCCCAAGGACTAAAAGTCCCCATTCTAAAGCAAAAAAGACCACAGAATGACAGCCTTATAAGGCAGAAAAAAAACATTAAAAATATAAAAGTAAACTGGTTTAAAGAGGCACACCCTCAAACTAAGCAAAGGCATACAGAGATGATGATACCAAGAGCCTTGACAGAGAACAGGTTCAAACCAACAGATACATTTGATCTGGACACTGGTAAAATGGCTTCAGATTAACTTTCTGAACACCCCCTACTTGTGCTATATTCATGTCAGAGTGCTCTAATTGTGACTGTAATTGGGGTCAAAAAGCTAAAAACAGCGAGGACGATGCTATTATGTCAGCCGTGTTATTGTCTCCTGTGCTATACTGCCATCAGGCAAGAAGGGCAGAAGAAAAGCTAATTTGTTTGGCCTATAAAACTGCTGATTTTACAGTGAGATACTCTCTCCTGAGTTGCTTAAACCAACATCAGAGCCAGGTTCCTCTGTCACTGTTCAGTGTACCCTTTGGCCATCAAAGGCACAGGTATCCTCAATTCAAAGGATTACAGTCAAGGTCACTTGGAAAGGTGTGAAGGCAGCACAACTGCTCAACAGGACAATGTCCAAATGTCTTACCATGAGGAAAGCTACCCAGTCCCTTCTTCCAGCCTTAAAACTATGTGAAGAGGGAACTAAAGAAATTTAGAAAATGAGTGCCTGATCAGGCATCACTTGCTGTGATGGAGGACAATAAATCCCTCTCTTGATGCTTTCTCACCTTGCTCTGAGATCCCTGACTGTTGTTTGCTGGCGATGATCTTGTTATGGTTAAGACAGGCAAATGGAAATTAGAATGTGTATATGATCCATTTATTTTTACACTGCTTTGTAAACTGGGTACAGGTTGATACCATTCATCGAGGGCATTTAACATGCAAAGCCGTGGCAGTTATTACTGAACAACAGAACAAGCATGCTTGGATTGCATCTAAGATAGTCACTGCGATGAGGAACTGATGTGGCTCAACTGACGCAACTAATTATTTGGATTCCAGTGTGACAAGGTGCCAATAATTATGACTCTCTAAGAAAGATTATAAGAAAAAAAAATGTATAAAATAATAATAACCAGGCACACTGACCAATGACAGGAAATGTATAGAAAAGAACATGGTACACTAGTGCATAATCGATTGCACTTTCTGTGTTCCCTCATTAACTCCCTTTTGAGTATTTAGGAGTGCTGGAAATCATGCTGAGGTCAGATGATTTTGGAGAGTGGCTGCTGCCTGTTAAAACCAGCATTTTATCCAAAAATGCTTCAGGAAGAAACCTTCTCAGGCAGCTCCTATTGCTCTGTTGTAGCCCAGCTTGCTCTCCTGAACAGTGTTCACTTGGTGGGCCAAGTTCTATTAGAAGGGAAGCTGCATTTGAACAGTGATGCTCTGGGCAACTGATGTCACCCTGCTGTCAATGAGAATTAATGAACAGAGCTTCTGACGTGGCAAAGAAAGGGCCTGGATAAGTTCATGCGGCATGACTTTAGAAAAAACAAGGCAAATGACATCCTGACTTACAAAGGGTAAGGTTCATGAGGGTTCAAAGGCTGTAAAGATGCCAGTAATTGCATTTATACTGCTGACCTGGCTGAAGAGCTGGCATCCCCATAACACCATCCCCTAAGAACAATTCCTGTACATCATTTGTGTCTTAATGGCTCCTTTGGCCCGCTTGGGAGGGGATCCTGTCCTTGATCCCCTTTCCTTTGTCCTGTGTGCTACACTCATGCATAAATATCACCCCAAGTACAAATTTAAGACAACAAGCAGATATACCTTCCTATTCTAGATCTTTCTCCTGTCCAGTATAAAAATCTCATCATCTCCATCATATGTTCAGTTCAAACTCAGCACGCCTAAGACAGACCTTTTAATCCCTCATCCCCAGTCTTGTCTCTCCATTGTGGACAACAATCATCATTCTGCTATTTGTTCAGAACAGTAAATTGGCTTTTGGTTTCAATCTGGACCACTCTCTAAAGCTGTCACATAGTAAAATAGTGGATTCTTATTTATTAGAAATTCTAAAATAAAATTTGATTTTTTTTTTTTTTAAAATACAATTCAGTTAAAGCACAACTACTGGAACAAGAATATTGAAAAAAGTCTAATGGAGTGCATTATGCAACTCAGCCTAGACTAGAGAAGCGATATGGTCTTTCCTGGCCTTAAAACAGTAGACTGTCAAGATACCATTTTTCCTAGCCATATATGACTGTTGCTTGCTTATGGCAGAATCCTTGTTTCAGATTTTGACTCATGAATTTTGCCCACTTGTGCTTTTTCAGAATGCTGCTGCTAAGATCATTTTTTTGAGCCCATCGCTTTGTCCATGGCACCCCTTTGACAAGCTTTTCCTTTTTTTTGTTACATCAAATAGACTGCTTTTCTTCATTCCTTATTTCTGTTGGCTATTCATCATCCTTTGCCAGCTATCGTCAGACTGATTTCCTGTCTCTTTGTAGACCTGTCATGCCAACCTCCAGGATCACTTGGGAAATTTTCACATAACCTCTGATTTTTATTTTTTCCTCATGCTGCATCTTACCTTATAACGCTTCCTTGTTCTTCCTTAAACTTTTCCTTGAAATTTTCTCCTTACTAACAACAGCGATTCTGTTTGGTTTTTTTCAAAGCTGTGATTTTTTTTTTAAAAAAGCATACATCCCCAATGATAAATCTAAATAAATATAACACTGCCTTAGAGAGGAGGAACAAGAATATGTTAATACGTTGAAGAATAAATACGGATTAAAAAAAAAAGTCCACATCCTGCAGTCTTTAAGGTAAATTCTCATTTGCTGCTTTGTGAGTTTTGCCTGATAAAAGCTGCAGGATTTGGCCCAGTGATAAAAAAGGCTTTTTGAAATAGAGGTTTGTGCAACTCCACCCTTCTGTGAATGGTCTGAAATGACTATAGATTGGCAGAAGGCCCAGTTAATTAAACTCCCAATTTAAAAAAGCGAGAGAAGGCACTCTGCCAAGAAATGTAGAAGCCCATTACTTGCTGTAGCATGACCACAGTAATAATATTTTACAAAGCATGTATGTTAATTAGGAGAAAGAGTACCTTTCTCAGCCACAGACAGGTTGGGATCACTGCAAGGTTTGCATGGTCCAATCACTTGCTGGATCAAGGCGCGCTGGAAACTTGGAGGCTAAGGGAGAGGAAAGTTAGCACAGAAAAGTAAAAAATAGTTACAGAACAGCTGGTGCAGAAGCCTGGGACTTCCTGTTCACTTTCTTTAGGCAAAAAAAATTAAAAAAAAATTACAGGTACCTTAGGCTATGTCTACATTAGCAAGTACTGCAGTGCAATACTAGTGGATCTCTAGACCCTAGCAGTGCTGAGGACCCAGTGTTCACGCTGCTCACGTTCTCTGGAGGAGTTATGTCAGATTAGCTCTAGCCTGGTCTTGTGCCTATTAGCAGCTCAAATGCATCATATGCTCTTCTGGAGCTTACCTTTTGGTTTAGTTTGTTTCATTTGAGAGAATTGAGTTGACATGCTCCAAGACTCTTCTCAGATGTGAACTGAAGTATGGTAAGTCAACATGATCAGGAGATGCCCTTCAAAAGTGCATGCCTGAGCCAAACTAAAATGCTAATATGTAGGCACACCCTACATCTCTCAGTTTGCTCAGAGCTAGTAGTAGATAAGGGGATAGATTGTTTGGAAACACTGTATTATTTCAGTCTTTCATGGTTTTTATTATCTTTGGAAAATCACCATAAAGCTATTAAGAATCAAGCTTGAGGCCAGACTACAGGACAGACATGGTTCTAGAAAAATGAATACATAAAATAGCATGACTCTGTGGCCAGGGTTCATGCGACAAAGCTGGGAAGTAAGAAGAGTCCATTTTCACAGTTTCTGCAATTTTAACATTGTCATTACAGTCTGTATCACTTGACTGCCAACATGGGTGGCTCTGATAGCCAATTAATACAGAAATGTCTGCATTACCTCTTGAACCACTCTTAAAATGATCCTATATAAGTTGTCATGCTTCCCAAAAAGACCAAGGGGAGCTTTAAGGTGATCAAAAAAACAGTAAAAAAAAATCTAAGTCATAGCTTCAGGTGGCTGAACTGCATCCAAGCAAGTACATCGGCTACCTGTCCGTTTTCCATGATAGCTGTGGGATACATGGCGCTGCTGGGTCGGTCCCGATGGGTTGGCAGCAACATCATCAGCTCCCGAGTGTGGCGGTACTTATCTGGTAGAGAGGGAGAGCCTGTAAACAAGTGAGAATAATCACGTACACATGACAAACAACAGCCATGTCTCAGCATGCCCATGGATCTAGTCCTCCTTTGCAATTTATTCAGACGATGATTTTACAGGACTCAAGAAAACATGGCGCTGAGCCCACTAAGCAGCTAACTGTTGGTAGGGTGCATAGCACAAGGATCACATAAGAACTGGCTTGCTATAAACAGTTAAGGACCTACTGTGTAAGGTATGTAAGACACATCCCTCGTTTTATGTTGCAAAGTTCTTCCTCTTAAAAAAATGCGTGCATCTGTGTGGAATCTGCTGTGGCTATGCTTTACAGCACCTAGTGCTCCCTCACACCATAAGGTATTATAGGGCTATACAAATGCAATAAAGTTGTACATTTTAGGACTGAATGTGGGAGGAAAGGATAAAAGTTTAAGCTACACCATTCGGTTGAGGCAGGAAGCTGCTTAATGCCTCAGTTACAGTAAAGATAGACTGAGGTGTTGCCATGTAGTTGGTGATACCATTGTTGGCTTCCTCTTTGTTAAAACAGAAAACCATATTAAACTGAATTTTCTACAAATGTGCGTGGCAACTTACTAGTATGCCTCTGCAGGACATAGAATTACCGCTCAGTGTGTGTTATACTGAGCTGTTACGTGACAAAAGGATGTTTACCAATACTTAGAAATGTATAGCAGCGCTATGCTTGATTTGGTAGATTTAGTTATCTGAATAGTTGTCAAATTTAAGAGGTTGGGGTGTTTCCCATGAAATGTTTCCTGGCGCGCAGAATTATCTGGGAATCACGTTCTTCAAGATGAGTGCCACACAACAATATTCCTTCTGATATGCAACAGCTGACAATGGATTTGCCAGAAGAATGCTTTCTGTTAGTGGCTTCTTAAAGTCTGATACTACAGGTACACACATCCCTGTGGGGTAGACAATATTAGGCAGAAATTGGTAGTCTGAAGCTGCTAGAGTGAGCTTTAAAAACACGCACTTAACAGATGGCAGCACACAGCGCATTACAGAGCCATGCTGGCTTTTGGGGAATACATGCCCCCTTTTGCAGACTTTCCACAACCACACACATTACCTGAACAGCACTCCAACGTATGAGCAAAGGCATTGGTGCTGGTTAATGCAGCTTTTAACCCAGCAAAAGCAAACATGCAGTTTTGGGGAACTGATACTCAGCACACAGTGGAAGGAACAATGTGTCCAGCAGAATGCAGGATAAGGTCCTACAATTGCAACAGTTGCATCAGGGGTGGCAGAACCCGGATTAATCTCTACATCCCCATCCCTGCATGAACAGCTGCAAAATAGTTGCATTCTAGTTCTGAACTCATTTTCGCCCCAGACATAAAACAGAAACATGGACAACATTCTTTGGTCGCATATACAACATCACTGCGGCAAAGTGGTAACACTTTATGCTGAGTCTCTTTTACTCACACCTCACAAATAGCCCTGTTTTGGCATGACAAATGTAAGGATGCTGAACTTACAGTTGTGCCCAGAACTACATCATAGCACAACCAACACTGTAAACGTTTCCTTTTTATTTATCTTATGATTCCTATTCCTTTTTGTCCAAGATGCAAACCACCTCTATGTGCCATCAGTTTATAAGGGATTATAGTTTCCGTGAGATCTTGCTTTGCATGACCTGGAAAATCCCACATGTGCTAAATATGGTGGCAGAGTCTAGTTTAAGAAACAGCCCTGCTATTTGGTGCCCTAAATTTGTAAATAACCGCAGCTACAAAGCTCATAACAGACTATGCCAAGCGGCCAGTTTGCAGACAGAGTTACGTACTGATACCACCAAATTGTGGGCCACAAGAAGAGTGGCTATACTGAAGCATTTATCAATAATCAGGCCTGCTACTTTAGCCAGATAGAGAGCATGTTCATTATGGCTCCTTTTCAGAGACTGGTAAAGTGTAGAAAACAAAGTCAAATCTTTTAAAAGCTTTCAGAGCAACTGCAGTAGCCATATAAAATGCTGCAGTATGTGCCAAGGCTTATTTCTTTCAGCTGCAGTACACTTGGTACAGTTGATGTGTGCAGCACTGTACATATTATTAATGGGAAAGCAAAACCTATGCTGAAGCCAAAGGTAGTTTTTCATTTTTTAATTTCAAAAATGTTAATCCACAAATAGCAAGTATGCATTTTAAGGAATGTAACTGAAAATTAATGCACTTTATCTCCAAAATCAATGAATCTTTGTCCCTAATTCATTATTTTTATTACTGTTAGGAAAACAGTTTGCTCCTGTACCAAATCATGACTTTTTAGCTTTTAGAAGGATTTTTATGCAAGCATATGGTTTCTTGCAAAGTGCTGAGTAAGACACCAGAACTCATTTTCTGCACCTGAAAAGGGGGCTGTGTTGAAGAAGCAGTAGGGATATCTTACCAGGTTGCTCATTAAGTGTCAGATTTTCCTTTTTGGAGTGCATTGGAGGAGTTCCAAGCATATTTTAAATGGAATGACTTAAAAAAAAAAAAAAAACCCAAGCCTACTCATAGACAGTTTCTGCTTACAGGAACACTGGCTTCCATAATCTTTTAACTCCAGTCAGGTTACAGCAGTGCCTCATGAGTCATCTCAAATGAAGCCAGAACAAACTCAGAAATTCTTATTGAGCCTGCATAGAACAACAGTGTTGCTTTCTTGATAGGGAAGAACCCACACAAGGGTCAAGCCAGAGGAAATCTGAGACATGCGTACTTGTTAATCTAAAAAATAGAATAACTAGTAACATCCTTCCCTATCATTAGCACAAAATTAGATCATTAGCACAAAATTAGAGAATTCTTACTGTATTCTGATTAAAATTTTTTTCTAATTAATTCTATTTAAGACTCTTGCTCTAAGTTGTGTACCAAGTTTGCTGCTTTAATCTGCTGTTTATTGGTATGATCTAATCATTAATCTTTTAAACAGAATGTTGAATTAATGACTATATTATTTTCTTTGGACACATCAAATAATTTACTTGTGCTGTTGGTTTAAACTTCAGTGAAAGAGTGCTGCTTGGAAGTGGAGAA